AGCAGCTCTTTTTTCGTGTCCGCTAACTGCTTCTCGAGACGTTTTCGCATATCTTCAACGTTCTCGTAACGTCTGCTCAGTTCTTCCAACTTACAAAATATAATAATATTAATAATAATAATAATAAATAATAATAAATACCCCCAAATCACTCACCTGCAGCTCAGAATTTTTGAAATTTCGCTGCAATTGTTGCAAATCACCTTCGTAACCTCTTAGTGTGCAGCGTACACTTCGTACCACTTCGTTGGGTTGTAGAGCCGTTGGACCTCGAATATTTATTATTATCATTATTATTATTATTATATTTATTATTATATTTATTATTATATTAATTCAAATAATAATTCCAAAAACAATTATTATTTCTAATATATTCAAACCCACTCGGTGATAACGAACGCGGTCTCCTTTTCTGTCCCGATTTTGCCTCTGCCTCCTTCGCCATATTCTGCACAATACGCAGCGCATTCTGAAATCCATAGTGATTTTATATATTAATAAACTATAATAATAATAATAATAAATAACAATTAAAAATAATAAATAATAATAATAAATAACAATAATAAATAATAATAAATATAATTCTCACCTGACTATCGCTCAATTTCTGTTTCGTACGCTTTAACTCAGCCTCGAGAAGGGTCAGTCTCGCCGAACTGCCATCGTCATGAGATTCCAACTCAACAATACGTTCGATTGCTTGCTCATACCTGTGATTACATAATAATAATAAATATAATAATAATAAATATAATAATAAATAATAAATAATAATAAATAATAACAATAAATAATAATAAATACTTTTTCATCAGTGTATCATGCTCATCAGATACTTTATTCTGATCGCGTGGTGAGGCAATCTGCTCTTGGAAACGTTTTAGGGCTTCTATTAATTCATTGTCTTTGCCTCCACCGTCCACCTGAAATCAACAATAATTACAATAATAATAATATACAATAATAATAATACATAATAACAATGTATAATATTAAATAGCTGCAATATGTCTGCGATAAAGCGCTGCAACACCGCCTCATTTGGCGATTCGTCCAGTGACACTTTCTGGGCGGAGCTTACTGATCTCTAAAAATTTACCTAGCCAACCAAGCACCACTTGCGATACTGTTACTGGGAAAATTTCGGCAACACAAAAAAGTAAACCTGAAATTAATTATTTTTTGCAAAAATACCCAAAAAAATCACCACATTAAACGCATTTAGACTCAATTTTCGCACGATGCCCCCAACACCCTTCGATACCCTCACGAACTCGTTGCGTTGCGACTCCAGATCGCGTTCGGTCTCCTCGCGATATTGGGCGAATTCGGCGCGAATCCGCTGCAGCTCATCCCATAACGATAGCATTTTCTGCTGCTCTTCTGATAGATACTGCGCTAGATTCTATAATTATTATTATTATAAACATAATAATAAATACAATAAATATAATAATAAATACAATAAAAATAAACATAATAATAAACATAATAATAATAAATAATAATAATAAATAACCTGCTCTCTCATTTGAAAGGCTTTATCCTTATCTCTAATATTCATTTCGAACTGCTGCCTGAGCATATCCAACTCCATCTTTTGACGTGCGATTTGTAGTCGTAATTCATTATTTCTATTACAAATAATAATAATTAACAATAATAATAATAATAAATAACAATAAACAATAATAATAAATAATAATAATAAATAATAACCTCCTCCGTTCCTCTTCCAGCATTACGGATGAAGTGTCCAAGCCCACCTCTTGAGTCATTTTAAAATCGCTGCCAAAAATATCCTCCGGGCCGGTCGCCTCTTTAATATTAAACGTAATACTCTCCTCTGGTTTCGACACTATCTGCTGGTTTTCAATCGCCGCGATACGACGTCTATAGTCTTCGATCTGAACATTTGGAAGATATTATTCCATTGGAACTTTAATTTTTTCCCGGGAAATCCATCCGCTAAAGTTTTCTCTTCCCGGGAAATCCATAACCGCTCAAAACACCCTCTAGAATGCCCCAAAATCGCCCCAAAATCCCCACCTTCCGTTGCAGATCGGCCATCAGGTCGGCGTGTTCCCTCTGTTCCTCAGTGTTTGCGTCAATCCTCCTCTTAAAACTATTCAGCTCCTCATTCGTCTTCTCCATACTGCTCTCGAACTGTCGACTCCTCATCGGAGCCGATGCCATCCTCAGCAGCGAACTCGAATCTATCATCGTGGTTTCGGCGATCGAATACGATGACGTTGACAGATCACCTGGATGCATTAGATCCGCTGATATCAGGCCATGACCTCCAGCGGTCAAGCCCAAACCTTAAAAGTCAGATTAAAATCGCCGTAACGGTGCTAAAAATATCAATAAATTTAGATAAATAATATGAATAATAAACAATAAATTACACAATAATAATAATAAAAATACAAATAACAATAATAATAACAACAATAACAAATAATACACCTTCATCATACGACGTATAAAGCGCATCCGGAGTGCGTTGTGGCTCTACCGGAGCCGTCTGCGCCGCTCCAGGCTCCGACACCCTCAAACTCAGCTCATCCAACGGGCGGTAGGGTAAACCTTCAACCCGGGGTAGCTCGGGAAGTTGTGGAGCTCCGGAGGCCGCAGTTGCCTCCTCAGACGCTCCGGCAGCTCCGATGGCCTCGCCAAGGGCCACAGCAGCCTCGATAGCCTCTCCAAGAGCCTGCTCGGTCTCGGTGGTCTCTCCAGGCTCCCCAACGGCCCCCGCCGTCTCCTCCGAGGCACCGGCGGCTCCAGTGGTTTCCCCGGGGGTGCCGCCATCTACTTCTGCATTTTCCTCGTGTAACTCAACATGGTCGTCTTCTTGACCACTGAAATTTTTATTCTGTCACAATTTTTGATAAAATAATAAATAATAATAATATACAATAATAATTACATATAATAACAAATAATAATGCACAATAATAATAAATATAAGCAAAAAGCAATAATCGCCACTAACTCAATAAAATTAATTGTCTCCTCGGTAATTGTCTCTATCTTTTGTTTGCCAGAATTTTCAGGAATATTCTCCATTCTTCTGCTAAAAATATCTCACCTAATACTGCAGCTTGAACTGTTTGCTGAAATTATTACTTTTAAAATATTATATCTATAATAATAAATATTATATATACAATAATAAATATTGTATATACATTAATAACTATTCTATATACAATAATAATAACAATAAATACAACAAGAACAGTAACTATAGCAGTAATAATAACAATAATAATAATAATAATAATAACAATAATAATAATAACAATAATAATAATAAATACAATAACAATAAATACCAAAAGCACAACGCAGAACACATCAACCCTCCCGTATCAATTTATAAATCAATTCCACCCTATTGTATTCTATCACACTACAGTGCACTACATTGCCTTTCATGCCGTCGTTTTATTTATCGTTATTGATAGAAATTATTTATATATTAATAATAATAATAATAATAATAATAAATAATAAAAATAATAAATAATAATCTAGTACTATGCATTATAGAGTGTGTGTACTGCATTTGAATATTAATTAATTCAATCTCTCAATTCATGCCTATGTAGTTTTCACTTAAATTCAGTCAGTATTTAGGAGAGTGGCACACTAAATTGATCCAATAGAAAAATCATATTTATAGATATCACAGCAATATCACTCCTCTGATAAGTCAGTGATAAAGCAGTGATAAGCCCTGATAAGCACAATACTATACGATATCCGTGGTCAATAAGCTGGTGGTGGGGGGGGGGGAGGGGGTAAAGGGGGAGAGAGAGAATAAGACCAAACAAGGCATCAAACTCATCGTCAGATAGATCCTTTAACTAGTTTGCTCAGNGGGGGGGGGAGAGGGAGAATAAGACCAAACAAGGCATCAAACTCATCGTCAGATAGATCCGTTAACTAGTTTGCTCAGATCCTTTAAATCCTTTAAAACTCAGATAAATCCTTTAAATCTGGCAATATCCACTGATAACGCCGCGCTGCGCTGACATCTCCCAAATATCCACTGATAACTACTGATAAACTGATAAAACTGATAAGATTATCTGCTCCAATCAGCTCCAACTGCACCACCTCGATCACAACAATAACAACACTACA